TCTCAGTGAAGTTCTTGCCTTAGACCGCTAATTCTACTTTCAGATATTCTAATGCTTCCATTTATACAACAGACGGCGAGACAAAATACTGTACCAATAATTTCATGAATTTAGGTCTGGCCAGCCCTGACTTTCATAGAGGATGCAATTTTGGGCTGTTACTCTCGTTTCCAAATTCATACATCCATAGACTGCATTAATTAATGTAACTGCACGTGAAATCGCCGTGCACCCTGCAGGACACTTTGTGCAAGTGTTCTGGGGTGCGGTGACACCTCGGTTCGCTCACGAAAGGGGGGGGGGGAGGCGAAGTTACATTGTTCTTGACTTACGTATACCAGTTTAACTCGAGGGGAGCGACCCCTTGAAACCTTTCGAGTACCTCAAAGAGATTTAAGCGTGCATGCGTTAGTGAGATGAACTCAACTGCACTGAGCCTTATGCCGAGGTGTGTCCACGTTGCCTTTACAGCTTGCGAAAGGTTTCGCTCGGCCGAGAGATCGCGCCACTGTGGCCGTCACTTTCAGCAACTCACACAATTAACACAATAGGACGATCATGGAAAGGATGTTGCGGGAGAAAGCCGTGGCCTATTTGAGACAACAATGTGCGGGATGTCGCGCAGTCGCACATGCTAAACACCTGCATTGAACTGGCCGTGACGAGGAAACGACAACATGGCGACCTAGAGATTCTTTGCTTTACGTTTGCTGTGCTTCTGATGTTACTTGTTAAAGAGTTGTTTCAACTGTGCCTTCACAGCTGTCGAAGTNCTTCGAATCCCCGCCGCACTTTGCAGACCCTGGCTGCCTAGGCTAGGTTGTTCTCATACCAACATGGCGAACTCCCAACAGTTGAGAAGCTTTGTCGGATTTACCCCATGGACCTGATTCATCTGTGGGCAGTTTAACGAAAGACCGAGATAACGGCCGTGGGGCTCCGTTTCACCGACCACGTGACATCCTCTATCCGCAAATTTGGCACTAACTTCGTCGACAAGCGGCGGTCGCTCGGTCGGTATAGTTCGCCTTCGGACTACAAGCCACAGAGTTCGTTTTTTCGTCAGTACCTAGACTGCAAAGCGTCGGATGATAGGACCGATAAATGATGAATTGGAAGGTACTTGGAAGGAAGTCGTCGCGTGTTAATCAAGATACTTTACCGGGATTTGTCTCGAGGGACTGAGAAAAACCACGAGAAACCTCAGGCGGGACAGCCGGAGTCTCGGAAGATATTCGAAAGAACAACCTACCGAATGTTAAGTCTTGAGAAAATTTATTACTGCATCCACGAGAACCATCCGCTTGCCTGTGTACTGAACCCGGTAAATCCAATCCGCACAACAGCACCCTACAACTTCTGCGTCCTTTTTAATATTATCCTCCCATCTAAGCATATATCTTCCAGTAGGCCTCTTGTCTTCAGGCTCTCTGACCAAACTTTTGAGCTCATTCCTCCTCTCTCCTATCCGTGCTACATTCCCATCCATCTCATTCTTCTCGGTATGACCACTGTTAACGGCACTGGAGAAGGCCACTTCTCTGTTCAGTCAGCCTGCTTGTTGCCTGCAGGTCCACGCTGGAGGAGGGGGGGGGCGCAGGCGTCCCCCCACCCCGGACTGTTGGAGCAGAATAGCAATTGAAAGAAGTAATGGAAAGAACTAATCGCTTACGTTCGTTTGATAGAACGTGGGCAACACAGAAAACGATGCGCCCAATATACGTATTCGTTCCATCCGTAGCCCTGCGAGTCGTAGGAGGCGACGAAAAGGAACCCAGTGTCTGGGGTATAACTGGGCCCACCCTGTCACTGGGGGATATAAATACGGAGACCTGGCCCTCCAGGTTGGGGAGTCTCGAATGTGAGACAGTAAAATACGGCCATGAGTCGTGCGGGACTCGGACCTGAGAATTACTGCACTGACGAAGGCCAGTAGCAATTGCAAACGATAGACTCGTGCTTTCGTCAGAGAGGGCGCCCCACATCGACAAACCCGCAACTATTTGACAAAAAAAATCTGCTATAGGGCCCCAGATGGGACTTGACACCAAGGCAGACTGGCCGACTGACTGTCGGTCGTAACATAATTTTGTCTTTGACTCTGTATTCGTTGCCACGAGAATGTGTTTACCGAGGCGTTGCCTAGCGACGAAGGATAGTGACGTGTGGGACGATCCAGAACAAAATGGTTCAGCCACGTGAAAGCACTAGAGACTGATGAAAGCCGAGACACATCTCAGGATAATGCGTACTATCTTCTGGGGCTTGAAACCGTCTAATCTGGTACAAGTTCACCGTCATTTCTGAGGAACATACCGCACAGTCCTCCGAAACGTCGGCAAACTTCTACCGGTCTGCATGGTGGCATACTACTCTTCATAGTCACTGTTGTGGGGAACTAAAACATAACACAGGACAATCAGTGTCGCGGTCGGGATTCGAACAGACAACCATCGGAATAGGAGTCAGATATGTTGCCCTCGATGTCACAACGCATGAGACGAGGAACAGGTCAGACGCGTAGATCCCACTTTCTGTGAATTGAGCTGCCGTGACGTACTGAAAGAAATAACGAATAGCCGGTGTCACATCGAGATATGAACCGAGTACATGCTTCCGCGACTGCAATGAAGCACAGAGACAAGTAGCTGTCACGCTTCACCGAACGAACTCATTTGAAGGCAAGTAACCTCTGCTGCTGACAGAGTGTCGTAAAATAATCCGCCATCGGTCACCTGAGAAGAGAGTTGAGCTGAGAGACATTCCAGGCAGCACAAGGCCACTGACAGCCTAACACTCACTCGCCGACCTTCACACGATCTGAGTGCCTCTTCTCTCGTTGCACAGCGATCCATACTCCGATGGATTCAACCTGTCTCGACTGTGCAGTTCAGTAAGTCTGCTTACACACAACATTTCATGAAAATACTAGGGTCTACTTAAAGCGGCAGTGTAGTTGCTTAAGGCAACATGCTACGTGCCGGAAGGTCGAGGGATCGAATCCTGATGAGGCGGATTTTTCAATTTACCTAAGCCTTCCAGCAGCACTATTGCCCTGGGGTCGATTCAGCCTCTAACAGAAATGAAAACCGGGAATATTCCTAAGGGTAAAGGGCGGCCGGCGCCTAAGGCGCCTCACCACCACCTGTGAGCCGATTGCCTAGAAAATGTGGGCGCCTCAACATCTCACAGCCCTATGGGCCTCCACGGCCTGTTGCAGGGATAGCTTTACCTTAGCTCTTATTTAAAAAATTGGCTCCTCCCTCGCGAAAAACAAACTTCGTCTCCGCCACAAAGCCCAACCGGTTAATGCTCTGTAGGAAAACAGTCGCTGTTTACCGTGAGAACAATACGGAACACACAGATACACTCTGTTGGCAGAATGCAGTATATATAAGAATTCGGTCCGTACCTCACAGGAAATATTACGTCTCAGCTACAAAGCCCAACCGGTTACTGCTGTTTAGGGAAACAGTCGCTGTTCACCGTGAGAACCACACGGAACACACAGATATACTCTGTGGACAGAATGCAGTATATATAAGAATCCAGTCCGTACCTCACAGGAAACATTACGTCTCAGCTACAAAGCCCAACCGGTTACTGCTGTTTAGGGAAACAGTCGCTGTTTATTGTTAGAACCGTACAGAACACACAGATACAGTCTGTGGGTACAATGGAGAGTTCTTTAACCATTTCAGACCTGACTGACTGCTAAATTCCTGCTGGCGCTCGCCACCGTAGCTATTTTGCAGGGTGGGTGGTGTCTGGGGAATTGAACACAATTATGTTTAAAATCAAAGGATGCCTGATTTGCGGGGGAGGCTAATTATATGACGCTGTCAGTAGCTGAAGAGAAGTGGCCCCGGACGAATTCAGGCACTATCCTGGAATTTGTCTGGAGGGACTGAGCAAAACTATGATGGATCTCAGGATAGCCGATATCCCTGCTGAGAATCGAACCGAGTGCCTCCCGAACACGAGTTTGCACAATTGGAGCTACGCCTGCCCGCTAGGTAAAAGTACACTTACGTATGCATACATGCATATTACTACAATTATTTTTATAATTTTTATAAACAGAACCGAATGCAGAATTTTGTTCCTGGGGGAGGGGATGTTGACTATTAAGTAAGTAGAGCGAGCACATTTACGATGTATCCGAATTCACGGAGGAGGAGGAAGTGGCTTTGGCCTATTTAGATACTAGAGCAACTGAGGAATAAACCATAATCACCGTTAAGATAATTAATCATGCACAGGGGTTCGATTGTATATCTCCCAAATGGATGCCAGATTTTTACCGGTTTGTTACGCAGCTCGATTTCAATACTATGGTTCTCTCAGATACGATTTCTTTGCATTTTGTACGTTTTATTTAATTACGTAATCTATGTGCCATAGGTGCCGCCATCTCACTTCGTTAAATTTTACTAATGCTTACCGTGGGTCTATATATCCACTCCCCCACACGCCTTCATGGCGTACGACGTAATTAGTTAAGCTCAGGGACAACTTTACCTTCTAAGTAGGTTCCAAAATTTTAATTACATATACTACTGCATATAACTGCTTCTCGATAAGCGGAATTATGGTTTAATATCACTATATCGTAAAAACTGACTGGTACAAGCTCCTTAATGTTAAGAACGTATGAAGGTCAATGCACGAAGGTAGCCTACGAGAGAAATCTATAAAAAGAAATCACGTACCTTGAATATTACATCTTGGCCCCAAGAGACTTCCAGCACATGCACGTTATAAGGCATATTCATTTACTATTCGAAGCATTAAATATTCTTAAAAGACAATAAAAACCAAAAATTGACACAGAACATAAACATCATAACATATTCGCGGCTGCTCTCACGCTCTACTGTCAATTATTTCGATTAATTGCAATAATCATTTTAAATTGGCGCTAATATTTTCTCCTCGTTCGTGTGGTATCATTGTCAACATTCGTGTTCTCTTTGTGATTAAGCGAAATTACGTTTTCACAGAGAAGTAACTTTCAATTTATAACTTACGTTTATAATTCATTATTAATATTGACTACTAAGTTTAACTTGTATCGTTGTGACTGTGAAGAGAATATTATACTATAACAGATGTATGCAGGATATCTGTGTTGGCAGCATTGTATACTATTGAGCACGTTTTGTGTTTAGTTTTGTGAATAATGTTTTATGAAAAGAATTATGCCATAAAATGACAATGGCAGAAGATAATGCGATTGATATATCTTTGAACATTAACTCTTCCCCAGTAAAACCGGATGATTTGCGTAGGGTAAGTGTGCATGTTTGAAATAATAGCCTGATTAATTTCATCTAACTTAACCTAACAATCGCCCCGTTTAATAGGCTGATATCCACATTTATCACTGTTTGTAAGACCAACATAATTTTTAGAATTACAATACATATTACACACGCCAGAAGATTACAATTAAGAGGTGACAAAACTAGCTAGGCAATGAAAGTAACGCAGTATTTAATGCAGTTCAATGCAAAACATCACTGTGTACAGGACATGTGTTCCCAGAACTTTCTTATGTTGAATTTGAGGTTCTGACAGAGGAGTCTGTGAATAGTTCTGGGCTGTATAACGCCCTGCAGTCCCTTGAAAGTCAACCTGACGTTTCAGAGGAACATGTCTCAAGGGTCGAAGAATAAGCAAATCAAGAAACCAGCATGAGGCAGGTATCAAGCAGCTTCTTGCTTCATGTCTGTTGACTTTCAGTGGACTATATGACGTTGTATCCTAGAAGAAAGAATTCTTCTTTCTTAAGTATGTTCGGATTCTTGCACTTTGGCATCCTGTGTGTGTGAAGCATGCAAATGATTATGGTATATCATCACACAATCTGTTCCATAAGACACAGTCGGTTCCACTACATGTTTCAGTCATGAATTGACCATCAGCAGATAGTAATCATAAATACATTAATATAAAAGCATTAAAACTGTAAGCAACAGTCACTTTATAAATTTATTCGCAAGTCAGATCTGCCTTGTAATTGTATAGAAATGTAACTGAAATCAATACAAAATTTCTGGTTGATAATAGATGTATGTTATTGGGCATTAAAATGATGGAAGCACCATAACACGTATGTACCGTTGCTGGTAAAAAGAGATGTTACGTAGTCTTTATTAATCAGGCCATTGCACAAGTAAGGAGAAATTGGAGATGTATGTCTGTTCTTATAATTAGGAATTGCAGGATAATTATATATAATTTCTTAATTATTTCAGTTATATTTCTGTACAGTTACAAGACTGATCTAATTTATAATATAAATTTACAAAGCGATTTAAAGTTATAATGGGTTTGTATTAATTTATTCATAATTTTCAGCTGATGATGGTGAATTGATAACCCAAACACACAGTGGAAGTGAGTATCACATGGAAAGAATTTTGTGTGGCAGTACATCTGAATAATTTGTACAAATATATTTGCGAAATACCAAAAACAGTTGAGAAGTTATTTAGGTGTGTGCCTGTGTGGTTTTACATATCTTTTGTCACTAATAACGAGGATTTCTTCCATAAACCGTTATTGTTCATAATGTGGTGTACGCTAGTATCCAGTTCATGACATTAGCCTTTTGATATTGTAATGTGTTATGTCAATATCATGTAGCCTAAAGTGCTGAACTTTATGTTTATTCAGTGAAGGCTGCAGATAAGAAGAATGGTTTGTAAGGTATTATTGTCTTCAAATGAATGAGTTCAGATGTCGAACAGCATGCACAGTACATGAATGAAAAACCAGTATTTTGTGAGGTGTGGTTGAAGGAGGGGGAGAGATGTTGAGTGAATTTTCTGTATGTAAAAATGAGTGAATTCGCATGTAAAGCAGACGAGTGAAGCTTCAGCTAGAACTTGTATGATTCCAGATGGATGCTCATCACATTAATGATAGAGTCAGGAACACTGGTTATTCATGGCTGACAAAGAAATAAAACTCAAAACTGACTTGGTCTACAACTAGTAGTGACACCAGGGTAGTTCAAGGTTGACCTGAAAATTTTTTATTTTGACAAAGAGAATATACATGCCACAGATGCTAAACTCTGGCTCCTTTTCAAGATATTCTCCTTTTACAATAACACATGGTTTCTGTTGTCCTGGCAAGTTACAGATGCCAGCAGCATAAAAAGTTTATCCTGACTGTGTAGCCAGTTCAAGATACCAAATTTGATTTTATTATCAGTTTGAAATTTCTGTCCACCTGGGTGCGCCTTCGTTGGTCAAAATAAATTAAAATCACTGGGGGCCAGGTCAGGGCTGTAAGGAGGATGGTTTATGATTTCCAAGTCCATTCCTTTATAAGAGATTCATTCCATGTAGCCCAGTTATTGTTGTTGCCGAATTTGCCATATGTGGATGAATGTTATAACGCAGTAGAGTCACCTTGGACAGTTTTCCAGGTGTTTTCTTCTGAATCATTTGGTGCACATCATTACGAAGCAGTACTGTGCAGTAATTATTACCCCATGAGGATGAAACTCAACATGAATCCCAGAACACACTTGGCGTGAGTTTTGCTAGCTCACAGCTGTCTCTTGTGGAGATCCCTTGTGATGCCATTCCATGCTGGAACACTTTGACTTTGACTGAAGAAGTGCACTCAAGTCTTGTCACAGGCCAGCATGCACTCTAGAAATGGGTTTCCCTCCAGTTTGAGCTGGTTCAAACGTTTGGCAGACAGCAAACACACTGCATCTTCTGGTCAGATGTTAATGTCTTTGGGATTCACTGGGCATGCACTTTCTTGAGCAGTCGATATAAAAAAGGTGAGGCTATCCCTGTAACGGGGCACACGGTAGTGTAGTTGGTTGAGGCACTATACTACAAGCTGGAAGGTCGTGGGTTCAAGTCCTGATGAGGTCATTGGATTTTTTCAAATGACCTAATCCTTCCGGCCATACTATGGCCCTGGGGTTGACTCAGCCTCTAACAAAAATAAGTACCAGGAATTGATTAAATAATTTTCCTTGGGGGTAAGGGGAGCCGGTGTGTAAGGCTGACAACCTTACCGCCATTTTTGAGCCGATTGTCTAGAAAATGTGGGACCCTCAACATCTCACAACCATATGGGCCTTCACGGCCTGTTACAGGGATAGCTTTATTTTTTTTTGCCCTCTTTTTAACAGGCTCTGAAGGCCCATAAGTTCACGAGTTGCCGAGGCTCCCACATTTTCTAGACAGTCGGCTCACAGATGGTGGAAAGGTTGTCAGCCTTATGAACCAGCTGTCCTTTACCCCCAGGAAGATTCCTGGTACTCATTTCTGTTAGGGGCTGAGTTGACCTCAGGGCCACAGTGTCACAACCTAGAAGTCCATGGTTTGAACATTCATTGTTATGTGACTCACAGAACTTATACTTAGTTTGTTATGTACCTAACACTGATTGTGAGCTCGGATATTTCAGCCAATAAAATGGTGGCTGGATGACTGGGATGTGATTTGTGTGGGGAGGAGGAATTCATCTCTTTGCCTCCTCCATTTATACTGCCCAGCCTCCTATCCCGTGGCCTGAGTGTCTAGGAAGTATCACAGTTAAGAATGTATGGAGCATTATGTCCATTTGTCCATTTTACCTGAATGAAGTTCAGAGTTGTTAAGTTCTTTAATACTTGGTCTCTGATATTAAGAGAGGAACATAGACTGAGGGTGTTTGAGAACAGGGTGTTGAGGAGAATATTTGAACCGAAGAGAGATGAAGTCACAGGAGGTTGGAGAAAACTGCATAATGAGGAGCTTCATAACTTGTACTCTTCTCCAAGTATAATTAGAATGATCAAGTCAAGGAGGATGAGGTGAGCAGGGCATGTAGCACGAATGGGGGAGACAAGGAATGCATATAGGATATTGGTGGGAAAGCCAGAAGGAAAGAGCCCACTAGGGAGACCAAGGCGTAGGTGGGTGGACAATATTAAAAGGGATCTTAGAGAGATAGGATGGGATGTTATGGATTGGATTGATCTGGCCCAGGATAGGGACCAGTGGAGGGCTCTTGTGAACATGGTAATGAACCTTCGGTTTCCATAGAATGCTGGGAAATTCTTGAGTAGCTGCAGAATTGGCGGCTCCTCCAGAAGGGTTCAGCTCCATGAGTAAATAAGTAAGTTAAGTTGTTTAATATTCTTATCACCCTTCAGTATGACAGTGTTGAGTTGAGGATTTATTTCTGATGAACGGGAAACTAACAGGGAGAGAAGAGGAAGAGGAGGAGGCACGTGGAGCCTGCTGTCACTTCAGAGAGGCAGGAGCAGTCTGTAACTGAAGAAACAGCTGAAGAGGGCCCAGATTGCAAGCCACAAGGCTGCATTTCCTCACTGTTTGTAAACAATCCAGACATCCCTGTATTTGCTCACCATGTCGTGAAGCCAGTATCAGAGCCTGTCTTCTCTTCACAGAATTTCAGAGACCTGCCAATACATCCCTTCATGGTGAGTGGTCTGCTTTATTGCATTCTGAAAGTACAATTCTGTAGAGAGAGCTGGGATTTGAAGAGGTGGAGAAATCTTGTATCTTAAAATGTACAGACATCACACAATAGTCAGTTAAAAACTGAATTGCATAAAATTGTTGATGAAGAAAGGATATGGTGGAAACATTATCCCTTAGTCACCTAGTCACCACAGGTGAAAAATCTACTGTGAGGTGCAGAGATAGAATTAGAAAATGTACTGCTTGTGTTCTTTCATCTTAACATTCTAATCTAATATGTAAAAGATGTAACTGTTGTGATTCCTGTTTCCTGCCAGGGCTCTAACTGAGAACACCCAAAGATACTCTGAAATTCACTGCCTAGTCATGCCAGTATGAACGGCAAGCGATGTGCAAGTGTTGTGGTAGTGTTTTTGGATATCATTCGAACCCTCATTCCCAGACTTTCTTTCTAATTATTGCAGTTTCTTAATTTGAGTATTGTGCCTTCTTTGTAGCTTTAGCTACTATACTCGTATATTGTGGCACTGACAAGGAGAGGAACCATATCCTAAGCAATTTAAAAAAAATGTAAATTCACTTAGTGGGGGTTGGACTCCACCTGGGTTCACTCGGCACGTCAGCCACTGATTGGCCTATTGTACCTGCCCTGGATGATTATGATGATGGAGAATTTGGTGGAATGAAGATTGTCAGGGGAAACTGAAGTACTTGGAGAAAACCTGCCCCAGCACCACTTTGTCTACCACAAATCCCATTTGACCAGACCCGGGATCAAACCCGGGCTGTCACGGTGGGAATCCAGTGACTAACCACTTGAGCTGTGGCATGACCATATCCTAGTCAAAGAATGGGTGCTTCTGGTATCGTGTATAAGTATCTTTATGAGAAGCTTCCTGTGAGACTAGATGAGTGAACTTGATTAAGTTGTATTTCTGGAGTCATGGCTGTGCACGTGTTATACTAGTGTTGTCTTCAGAATCCTGGATTTTGTGTAGGTGTTGTAATGTGATCTGTTTCAGCAAGACATTTTTCCTTCAGGTCAATGCTTAGCAACTTTTACCCAAAAATATAATTAGGCTCTCATGAAAAATGAATCAAACTTAATGAAAGTGACATATGGTAGGTAACATTTATGTATCAGAAGTGCTTTAAATTTAATTTAATCAGAATCTGTCAGTGGACTTGAAAGGTATTTGTGTGTGTGTGTGTGTGTGTGTAGACATCAGGATTAAATTAGACCTATATGTAAAAATCAAAGTCCATGGAGCAGAGCACTTCTTGAGAACCTAACAGTCACATGGTTGATCAAGAAATTCGCTTCTGCCCACATGGAATCCAAAGGTTCAGCACTGTTTGCAATAGTCCACTGCTGGTCCCTAACCTCAGCCAAGCAAGTACAGTCCCCACCCTTGCATCCTGTTTCTTGAATATCTGTTTTATAATATTATATTTTAGCGTCCTGTTGCACTGATTTAAGTCCATGATTTATTTCACCATCTTCTAGTGCATCTGTTTTATATTAGCCTCCCATGTATACCTAGGTCTTGAAATGGCCCCTCTCTCTTTTGGGCTTTTTGGCCAAAAGTTGTGTATGTTTTTCCTAAGTATTCTGTGTTTGCTTCATGCCCAACCCCTCTCACCCCCTTTAAGTTGGTTGTCCTGATTATATTTTGCAAAGAATACAAATGTCCATGATTTATTCCAGCCGTCTTACAGTGCATACACTCATCCACTTCACTCTTCACTCCTGCACTACATGTTTCGGCACAAAGGTGCCATCTTCAGGTGCTTTTTGATTCACGTTAAACTACTTCACTGCATGCCTTGCACACACATACCCAACAGGCCCAGCAGTATAACACACGCAGTCACAGGAGCAAGACACAACACAAAGCACAATACACACACGAAAGTAGGAAGAGTGCTCCGATAGAAGAGGATAGGTGTGACTCGCGTATTGAGATGCGACGTAGGGATAAAAAATCCTGAACAGTTTTAATATTTTTAATATTTAATATTTATCAATATATATGATGAACATATATTTTAGTTATTTTAGTATGAAAAAAGCAAGGCATGCAGTGAAGTAGTTTAACGTAAATCGAAAAGCACCTGAAGATGGCACCTTTGTGCCGAAACATGTAGTGCAGGAGTGAAGAGTGAAGTGGATGAGTGTATGCACTGTAAGACGGCTGGAATAAATCATGGACATAAATCAGTGCAACAGGACGCTAAAATATAACATTAAGAATACAAATGTTGATTTTCCTCATTATGAAGTTTTCTCTAGCATCAAGCGTTTCCACCTGGGTCCTGTTCTCAGACAGCCTCTGTCTATATGCTTCCTGTAGGACAAGGGAGCAAGTTCATACTTATTGCAAAATTGAGATTTGTGTCTTGCTCCTGTGCTAAACAGTCCTATAAGCGGGTAAAAGAAAATATCAGGCTTGTCAAAGTGTAGGGTGGATGTAGTCACAAGCGTGCTCTGTCACAGATATCAAACCTGGACCTGAACCTGGGCTTGCACAAGCTAACGACCGTTCAGGAGAAGGCTCTACCTGTGGTACTGTCGGGAAAAGATGCTTTGATCAGGTCACAGACGGGAAGTGGCAAAACATTGGCATATGCACTGCCAATTGTGGAGGCTTTGCAGGTGGTGAGACCCAAAATATCAAGGGCAGATGGAGTTCAGGCGGTTGTGGTGGTACCAACGAGGGAGCTAGCACTGCAGACATATGAGTGGTTTGTCAAACTGGTCAAGGTAAGTGCTTATGGTTAGGAATATGTTGAAGGAATGCATTGTTAGTTATTCTGTGCCATAATTTTTAAATAGATGTTATTATTGGTTGATATGACCGAGGTAGGGTAACTTATATGTTTGGTTTGTTGGAAGCCATTCACATGGCTTGTGCCTGGATACCTTGTTGGTGGGGAAAAGCGTAAAGCAGAGAAAGCTCGCCTGAGGAAAGGTATCACAGTGTTAGTTGGCACACCTGGACGCCTTTTGGACCATGTTCAACACACAAAGTCACTGCAGTTCGACAAGGTTGGCTGGCTTGTTGTGGACGAAGCAGACAGGTTGCTTGACATGGGTTACGAGAAGGACGTTGCCAGGTGTGTATATAGTTGCGGCTATGTTGTGGTGATTATGCAGTCATACCAGGAGGTGACTCTGACACTTGAGTTTACATTTCAGCTTCATCAAGACACTTGATTTGCAGCGGCAGGGCGATCGGCAGACAGTGCTGCTCTCTGCAACGTTGACAAGTTCTGTGAAGAAGCTCGCAGGTTTGGCATTGCAGTCTCCAGTGTTTATCGACGCTGCCTGCGACGAGTCCCTAGTGAGTCATCTGGTGATCCCACAGAGCCTGACCCAATTCTATGTTGTAACACCAGCCAAACTTCGACTGGTGACATTATCAGCCTTCGTCATCTGGAAATGTGAGATGAGCGATAAGCGCAAGATGCTGATATTCTGTGCAACACAGGACATGGTCGACTTCCACACTGAGCTGCTGGCGCGAGTGTTGGGTGGGTCTGCGCAAGTGAATGTTGAGTTTTTCAAACTGCATGGCAACATGACCCAGAAGGTACGTTCAGCAGGATGAGAGGCTTGCAGACTGTTTACAGTGCCATACATGTAGTGACATTAGTATGTGTCTGTTCTAGGAACGAACGGATGTGTTTAAGACGTTTCGAGCCGCTGACTCAGGGGTTCTCCTCTGCACAGTGAGTACAATTGCTGTATTTCAGTACAATTTTTATGGCCTGTAGGATGATATTTAGACTTAAGAGGATTAAAGAAGAAGCAGTTAAAATGTTGTCATTCTAAAAGAGGGGATTTTGGATCTCCCAGTGGCATAGAGTTTAGGCCACAATTTAAATGAGAGGTAATGATATTGACATTGAAAGAAACTGCAAGCACAATTCACAAAGTCTCCTTCCTGTTGCACAAGTTTATAATCCTACAGGTCTGTTGCTATGTATCAAAATCATTTTATTTTATTTTTCTGAAGAACTTATTCCTTGAGTTCGAGTTCTTTGTATATGAAGTTTCATAGACATAACCTTAAAGTTCTGTACCATCAGTGTTCATGTTTGTTGGCCCACAACCAATATTTCATTCATAATGTGTATGTATATTTTTTATATATGAGTATTTCCATACCAGATTTCACATTCCTAGCCTTAGTGGTTTGTTTGTTATTGCCATCAAACCGAACCCTAATGAGAATTTTCACTTGGTTGTTGTGTGGTTATTTTGCATTGTGCAGAAAAATTATTTCCACCGAAGTTGCACATTTTTGAACACCCATTACCATGCACCATATGGGCACCACACATGAAGAAGTATCACTAATATAGCTTCCACCTCAAATGTTTGAGGGTCTGGCACGTTGTTCTTACTGATTGTAGGGAATAAAAAACTAATCCTGACACGGCCTCTAATGGCATAACATTCATACCAAGCTTTGTAAAACTCGGTCAGTTTATTCATAGAAGCAGAAAATTTTCATACAAACATATGTTTCAGCCACTGAAGGCTAATTCTGTTGATAGCCTTGGAATATCCCAGAGAGAGATACATTTTTAAAAATACTTTTAATTTTTAATATTAATTTATAGTATATTTTCTTTTTCTCTTCAGTTTGATTTCTTCACAAAAATTCAGGAGGTTTGGGGGCAGATGCCTGTTCTATCCCCCACCCCTGCTGGCACCCATGCCTCTGTCCCTTCTTGCTGTAATTACACGTGCACCTAATAATATTAATTACACCACTTTGTATTTCCAGGTCATTGTGATCTTTGTTAAACAAAATTATTAAAACAGTTTTTGACAGTTGAAATTATTGATAACGGTTGTGTGGGTGATCAGTATTAGCTGGGATAAGGGGGTGTGGTATAATTGTTTAGGGGCACCGAAACCCTTATCCAGCACACAGACCTCAGAAACATTGGTATGCTACCGAGTGTGTGTCTGTGTCACTAGTTACACCTGTGTGGCCACATTTGCGAGTAAGTGTGGCAATTTTGATGTGCAGACTGTGCCATGGAAGACAATTTTTGCATTCATATATCTTTCATCAGTATTGTGGCATGTAAAATGAAGGGTAACATTTTGTGTTCAGTTGCCATGGTGACACTGAAACTGTCCTGAGCTGAGTTGGCTCTGTTGGTATAGCAGCTAGGGTACGGGCAGGAACCTGGGGTGGATTCTGAGCAGGGGCAACACAACATCTGGAGCAGCTCTGAGAGCCACACAGCCTCCTAACCAACAGGTACTAGGGGCTAATGTGGCCAGGGCATGAGGCTGCCATCTGGTGCTCAGATTAAAAATATGTGGAGTTGCATCTTCACTCCCTGGTGCTTTATTAAGGACAGGAACCTTTGTCTTTTATGGAACAGTGGCCCCATGTGAGACCCCCCTGTGGGTGGCCAAGGAGTCATGACATCCCCACTTCACAATGAAGCAGGCAGTGCCAGCATGTTTACTCCTGGTGTTGGGCCCCATGGGGACCCATGACCGCATTTTTGTTCGCTTCTCTCCGCAGTCTTTGGCATGGGGCCACCACTTCGATGACAGGAGGGGTTGGTCGTTCTGATTTGATGTTAACTTTCACACTGTGGACCAAGGAGTTATATAGCAAATGTACACCATATGTACTATACATATTGTTCACTGTATTCTAATGTATACAGAGACCTCTGTCAGTGCAGGCTTATGCGTTCAGCCAGTGAAGAATGTCTAAACTTTTATGGAACCTGAAGGTACATTATCATGTTCACAGCAACTTGCCATAGACCCTACCCTTGAAGCAGTCTAGGGCACCTGAAGAGAGGTGGTCCTCCAGTATGAGGGTTGAGTTGGAGGCTGAGAACTCATGGTAAAGTGGAACAGCGTGTTGTGAAATCTTACGCAGGGCATTCCTGACACTGTTTTTAAATAAACTAGCAATCACTAAAACAATGTGCATGAGGTCACACTTGTGGCCCTGATTAAAGCGTTCACTGAGACGTGTTGGTTTGTCAATATAGGGTTTATACTGTTCTGTAGCCATCAGCACACCAGTAAACAGCAACATGTACAGGACTGCTGAACACGGGTCTGAAGTAACATTATACTGTTGGCATCTGTAGGACCCAGCTGATGATGAGAATGCTGCTGTACACATTGATCACATGGTGCATAGACACAGGGCGGCTTTGCCTGCACCTTATTCCATGACTTGAGGTCCACCATGCTCTTATAAACAGAGAACTGTATTGAGTTTATGTCTGCACATTTCCTGTCTGGCCTACAGGTTCAGGCCGCAGGCTTTGTGAACTGTTTGCCTACATCTGTCATTAAAGTTCCTAAGCACTACACTCTGCAGGTGTATAGAGGGCGTGTAGCTGCACTCCAGTATAGACATAGAGATGGTGAAGAGATTTCACAGCCAGGAGTCATTCTAGGGCATTATCAAAACGCGTTCAGAAAATTACTGAAACTAGTCTGTTCGAATGGTCAGAAGCGTTCAGGCTGCATAGCCACCCTCTGAACATTGAACAGTTCAGCGACTGAGCATCCGGAGGCGTTCAGGCTGCATAACCACGCTCTGAACATTGGACAGTTCAGAGACCGAACATCCGGAGGCGTTCAGGCTGCGTAGCCACCCTCTGAACATCGAACAGTTCAGCGACCGGACGTCCAGAGGCATCCAGGCTACATAGCCACGTTCTGAACATTGGACAGTTCAGAGACCGAACATCCGGAGGCGTTCAGGCTGCATAGCCACCCTCTGAACATTGAACAGTTCAGCGACTGAAACCTCGCGATCGAATGGGCATCTCGGCTCGACGGCCGGCTGTCGCGGTTTTCTTCTGTCCCTCCAGGCAAACACTGACAGTATTCTTTCTAACTCATTATTCACCAGTCTTTCTGTGATTCACTGCTACGTATACAGCGTGAACTGCTGACAGCCAAGGGGTGAACTACACGGCGTCACATCCCAGATAATAGAATGACTGTGAAACGTAATGTTGCGGGTAGACCCGTTACTGGGTAATGGCCTCGAAACAACATCGTTGCTAAGGAACAGATTCTTAATAAGCAAGTATACGCAGCCGTTGCTGGGTAACGCCTTCGCAAACAGGTACGTTCTCACAGAAACGATTGGGGTGCAACAGTGAACAGTGTTTTCTACGCGGTCCATTCCGAGGTGTTATAACCGAGACAAGTTTAAAAGTTAGTCAGTTCTAACAGTCATTTGTAAGGGAATTTGTGAAGAGAAGGCTTGGTCGGTGCAGTTGAAGAATCACCACTGTTGAAGCCGTTACCAAGGAATGACTGGGGAAGACACAGCAGACTAAGAAGACATAATGTGTGCTGTAGTGATTTGTAAAGCGTGGAAATTGGCGATGGCACTATAATTAAGTGTACTCACGTTAAAATGGTCAATAAACCCACTCCAAAACCCCGTCGAGAGTCACACATACAAGTGACACTGAGGCGGGGAAGATGTAAACGAAGCGGTTGTGGCCATATTTGGGGCATGTACAGTACTGTCCTCTGGATATGGCTTGGTACAAAGTTAACAGCATTTCGGATGAACTTATTGTCTCTGCCTTGAGGGTAGAACGTGGAGGCAGGGTCGTCCGAAACGTTAGTATATATGTCTACGAGACTACACGGCGTCATGCCCGAGAAAACAGTAATGGTTAGATTCGCCGCCGTGGGAACCCCAGATCTCACTTAATTTGAGGCGCTTGGCAGCATTTGCCTGGAGCGCCTGAGGACAACGTCTGCGGGGAGAGATCTTCACAAAATGGGGTTTTGATGCGGAGGCAATAACTGATATTACGAGGGGGCGTGGAGGCGGGCGCCAGTGTCATTGCTGGAGCCGCAGGGAAGATGCCTGCAGATGGATGAAACTGTACACCTGTTGCCTAGCTCCCCTGTAATGCCAGTAGGCACGGTAGTCGAGGCTGTTGAAGCGATGTGCAGGTGCTGCTTTGGCGGAGATTTCCTGAGCGATATGAACCGTCGTTTGTTTTTAATCGAATGAGTAACTCGAATTGCAAGATTTCACCCTTACTCTTCCTGTACGTGTTGTGTTGTGTTCTCATTTCCAGCAGATGGCGTCGCTGTAGATGACTAAGTTATAAGGTGGAGGTAAAGGTGTCAAGCATCTTGACATGAAGACGTATGAGGGAGTGGAAGTAAAGCTCCACCATTCTTGACCACTGCGCTAGATAGAGGCGAGTGGTCAGCTTCACGCCTCGGCCGCTTTACCCTCAGGGTTACAGCACCCGGTACCCGCTGTGTAGGAGTGTGGGTCGGCGCCAGAGTAGGTCTGGACGCTGTGGAGGAGAGACATCTCTTGCGACTACTTAAAAACTTCGGCCTGCTGTACGCTGTAATATTAGCAAGGAGAGGACCTGTAACCCAGGTGGGGACCGGTACCTGTGTAAAATAAATATATTCTTGTAAGAGTGGGAAGTATGAAGCTGCAGGGGCATAGCTCAGGTGGGAACTTTTGTGACGACTGCGCAGTAATCAGGGTAGAGGGACGGAACATGCCAGACGAATGCGCAAGCAGAACCGCATATCTGCCATGAATTCTGGCGCCGTAGCCTGCAATCCGAGCCACTGACAAATACATACGCAATGAAATATTCAGTCTCCTATCCATGGGATAAGGCGGCCGGCCAGTGAAGCTGACCAGTTGCAGAGTGCCTGGAGGAGTACC